TGTTTTGTTGATAAAATGTTGTCCCTAAGCTCTAACAAGTAATGATTCTTTGAGATGATTTGTCGGGTATGAGATCCATATTTACTTTGCAGTTGATTACTTATTAAACAAGTAGTTATTAAGTATGTACTATTTAGGGACTGGAGTTACGGTAGAAATAAAGAAAGACAAAGTCCTTGCCTTCTTGGATTCCAAGTTCATACAGCAAGATGGGCAATTCAGAAATAAATATTAAGCAAGAACAAGACAACCGAATGATATGTGCACAAAAAAAAAAGCTTATGTGATATAGAACTAATTTAAATACTGCTCTGGGAAGGGCTCTCTGAGGAGGTAACATTTTGAGCCTGAAGCAATAAGACAAAACCAGGTATTTGTTAAAGGCATTTCAGCAATTTGTCTCCAATATGTGAAAAAGATAAATCATCTAATTCCTGCCACAGAAATGGAAATAAGAGAATGCTTTAAAAAAAATAGTGTTTTTGAAATATCTACAAACTGAACTAATTTATATATGCACAGTATGAGGTTTTCTGTAGGAATCTTCAAAGGTCACACAGATAAATTTTTTCTCCCATTTTATTTCTTAGGGACTCTTCATATTTAAAACTATTTAAACACATTTTTAAAAAAGGCTGGGGTATAAAATATAATACAGATTAATTAATTATGATATAGGATAATTTTCACCTACCTTAGCATTGCATTTACTTGCTTTATTTTTAGTTACTTTGTGTAAGTCTTTGAGAGTCTGAAGGTTTGAGCTATGCTTCATTTTTATATGTTGCTGACTTGTGTTGACAGAAATCACAGCTCTTAACTATACATTAGCATGTCAAATCATGCAAAATATTTTAATAAAAATAAGCCTCCTGGACAATTAAGCATTTTAAATTAAAAGTCATATTATAATATAAATGGTGGTTGACTCAAAATTGAATAAATGATTAGCATTTGTATGTGATGTGTGTATGTGTGCAAAGCACATCTTATATTTTTACCTTGTATTACAAAATATGTATCAAAGAATCCAGTTTTCCCTGTCTAAGCAACCTCATTTCACTCATCTGACATTTACTGCATCAGTCATCCAGTGTCTTCCATGTGCCAGGCACTCTCTAGGCACTAGAAGTACAATAATGACCAAAACATTCATTTGCATAAACTTATGCCTCATTTCTAAGTGGGATGCAGCTTTCAAAGGTGGTATGATGTATTTTACTACATCTAAAATATTTATTGTGATCTACCACTATGGCTTTAAAACAGCAGGCACATAATACTCAATTTAATAGGGAGCAAGATATATTTCTCATCGTTCTGTTTGAACTTCTCTTCAGAAACCATGTCTGGCTGTATTAGATTCAAGTTTTAGTTGAATAATGATTTTTGTTATCTCTGCACTATGTTTCACTTTCCTATTCTACTCTTCCTGTTTCTCTTCTAATAAAGCCTTAACTGAGCATAATATTGTATTTAGGTTTTTGTGTGATTCTGATGCCCAATGACAGAACGCTGCAGAGCAAGGGAGCAAATGGAGAACATTGTTTTCACCTTTTTTAAGGTGTTAAGTGTGTGCATATTTCATGCTTTCACTTCTAGGACCTCTAATTTTATTAGGAAGCCATAATTCTTACCCTGTTTTCATTCATAATTATGTTAAAGACCAATCACTCAGTAAGTATTTAATGAGTTCCTACTATATACTGGTCACTAGAGATATGAAGATATTAAGACATGGTCTCTATTCTCAAGAAGGTCATAGTCTTAAAAGAGATGAACCATAACCTGACAACTTATAATTACAGTGTCAGAGTGGTCAGGGAAAATTTATGAAGTTCATGCCTAGTAAGAGTGTTTTAATGAAAAGCAGAAGGTGAGCAGAACAGAAAGGATTGAAGATAGAGAAAGCAGCATTTCCCTCCAGGAAGTTATCAACAATTCCCTGTGATGAAGTATGAATGGAAAGAAATGGAAGGTAGAGGCAGGGCATGGAGCATCTCATGTGCCACGTCAAGGCACTTAAACTTTTTCCTGCAGGGCATAGGGGTTTATGATCAGGTTCTAAGAGAGTGGAATTGTCAAACTTGTGTCTTAAAATATCAATCCATTTGGGAGCAATGGTATGCATTTGAGCTAACTGCAATCATGGGCAGGGAGAAAAGTTGTGAGTGCACTTCAGAAGTTCAGTAAAAGATAACTGAGACCCTAAAAATATAAGGAAAAAATGATGTAGTGACTGGATAGTTGTAGGAAATGAGGAAATTGGACATATGTCTTCACATGTCTGAGGATGGTTCTAAGGGGGTAAAAATGAAATGTGGATTTTATTCCCATTGAAGTTCAGAGTAAATTAAAGTGTGGCAGGAGAAAGATTCATTAATAAAACACACAGGATTAAGAAAATTTTCTTGTTATGCTGATTTTACATTACACTGAGAATTTTCAGCACAGAGGAATGCTTCTTCTTAGGGTTCAGTTTTATACTCCCTTTTCCTGTCAGCTTTCTCTATTCCTTCAATGATATTTTATGCTGGAATGCCAGTATTTCCCTCAATCTTTGAAATACATCTCTAGTTTTACCTTATCTCCTGTCTTTTGATTTGATCCCAATCCCTGATGCTGTCTCTTGGATTACCTTTACCTCCTTGCTCTGGCCTGACTTTGAATCCCTCCAGGCCTTTGACCCAATTTGGTTCCAATGTTCTGAGCTTCTGCCTCTTAGGGAAGGGTATTTTAATTCAAAACAGATTACGTAATCCAACAAAGAGATAAAGCAAAACATATTCGTAGATTTAAACTAGCAAAAAAATGATATCTTTATAAACATTTTTTAAAAAGTTTGCATGGTGTTTGGCAAGGCAAAAAGATGTAGAATATTCTTATTTGATTTATTTTTGATTGATGGAAATTAGATAATCAATAACAGACATTTAGCCCCCTTTATTGTCAAGAGCCTTACCTGGTCTCCTAAGGCTTAAAAACAAAACCAAACAATCAAATAACTTTTAGTGGATGCAGAAACTTAGGAATGGTTATAAATGGTAAAAATATTTGTTGAAATGAAAATATTATTTTTAATACATGCTACGAGAACTAGGAATTTGAATAAAAAATTAAATATGATCAACGGCCTTTGCTTTTAAGGAATCTTTAACACAAAAGTGAAGAAACAAGTGTGAAAAATAATGATAACAGACAGGATGGATAAATAGCACACAAGAGTTATGGAATCCGTGCACTGGAGGTCAGAGAGAAGAGAGATCAGCTCTAGTCTGGCAATTCAATGAAGGTATAAATAAATAAATATTACTTGAACAGGATTTTTCCAACAGATGAGAGACATTTCTAGAAAACATATGATGCAAGGTGAGAAATTATAATTGATTTTTGCAAAACAGCAAGTTGCACAGTTTGGCTGCAGGCCACTTTGGAACATGTAGGGCAGCAGGGAAAAACAAAATGGGAAATTTACTGGGATCAGAGCACAGAAAGGCTGGAATGTGAGCTCAAGGAGGCTGTATCTGAATTAATTTGTAATGTGAAGAGTGAAAGTTTCTGAGCAGGGAAATGATTAGCTTGTACATATAAAAGAAGATGAATCTGGCAGTCATGTTTCAAATGGTAATTAGAGAAAACAAACCAGACACTGGAAGGCAAATTAAAGAGACTGTGCAGAGTCTATGTGAGAGAACTATGGTTAGGGTGATGGCATGAAGGAAGGGAGACAGAAAGAAAATGAGGGCACAGATGTAAGATGTACTGCCACAGTTATTGGCACATAGTGATTGGTTGTGCAAAGGAGAGATTTAAAAAGGAAAAAAAATTCATATTCCAAAGGACTTCAGAGAATGATTAAAACATTTACAGAGACTTCAAAAGATAAATGTTTTAATGATGGAATATAATGACTTTATTACATAGGTCACTATATATATGTGTGTGTGTATGTGTGTGTGTGTGTGTGTATACACACACATATATATATACATCTGTTTATATATATGTGTGTATATGTATATATATATGTATATGTATGTGTACATATATACACACAGGGCTAGGGGAGTATCATGTAGCTTTTAAGAAAACAGAGCTTACAGCAACAAGTTGGAATTCAAATTTACAAAATTAAAGTATGAGATGAAAAATAAAAGAATAAATTCAGAATCCAAAATGAAAAGCCAATGGCTTAGTATAGGTTCAGTGTTAAAGAAGCTCCAAAAGAGATTCAGCACATGGGTTTCATTAACAGTTTATAAAGTACCACCAAGGGCTCAAAGACAAAGCAGTTGATAAGTAACAGATCATTGATAACTTTCAAGGAAACAATTTTGGTAAAGAAATGGAGATCAAACCACAATGTAATGATTATATAGTAATATTTTGAGAAGATTGGTAATAAAAGAATGAAGAAACAGCAAACCAGTGTAGGAAATATCGAGAATGTTCTTTTGGTCTATGAGGTCACCTGACATTCTAGTGGGCAGAAGGTTGACTTCTAGGGAGGGATGGAAAGAAGATGCAAGGCAGAGGTGATTATTGATGTGGTACAGTGTTTTAATGAGCAAATAGGAAATGAATCACAATGGACCCGGTCAGTCCTGATCTGGGTCCAGGGAATTAACAGGGAAAAATGAATGTGGGAGGAGAATAGAAATCAGACAATAAATAGCTTGGTGAACATGAGATAAGGGAATGGAATACTGGGAAGGTATAGACAATGAGGATACAAGAAGGAATTTTAATAACTAGGGATACAGAAAGTAAAACAGTTCTGACAATCATAATCAGAAGAACAATTTTCTAGTACATTTTTCCCCCAACAATTAAAAGCCTATATATTGGAGAACATAGGGAGAATAAAGGCAAAACAAGATGTCTTAACATTTAGTTCTGAATTTTTTTTTTGAGTAATGTCATCACATGGACTTGAGGATTTCCTATGAAAAGAGAAACAATGATCATGTATCATGGAGACTGAGGACTATTAATCTTACCTCTCTCAGAGGATCATTGAGTTCATTGAGAATATTTTCCTCATCAAAGATTTTGCCTTGGTATCTGTGTTCATAGTAATCATGTATCTTCTGACGCATATCAGCTGGTAATTTATGGAAGGACATGTATTGCTCCACTTGCTTATACTGCATGGAAAGGAAAAAGGAAATTAGAAAACATTGTTAGGCTGCCTGAGAAATCATCATGTTACTTTGTTGTGCTACATTCAATACCATTTGAATAACAGGAACATGAAAAAATCATTTAAGGGGAAGGAACTAAAGTACTAGGTTGTAATGTACCTACTCTGTCACATACTATATTAGTAATTGATTTAAGTAAATATTTTCTGTCAAGAACTGAGAGGTTATGGAAAGAAAGCATTAAAAGAGGTCAGAGTGAATTCAAAGGTCTCACCCCAGAAAAGCCAGTGACAGGTCAAGAAAAAAAAAATGTGATGCTTTTTTTTTTTCATGCTGTGTTCTAAAAGAAGTATGAAGCTGATGTTTTGACTCTACATTTGGAGACAGAATCTCAAAACTTTAGATAATACAAAAGGTTTATCTTAGACCTTAAAGCAAAAGATTGGACATAAGTAAATTTTGAATCTGGAGGCAGAGAGCTTGGCACCTGTTTGCAAGTCACAGATTTTCAAGCAACACAGATGCCCTGAAAAGTAAGAGAATATGTCACACTTCAATTTAGGATTTAGGAGAATATCTGGGTGGGACTAGATCCATATAATTTTATGGCTGAAACTTAACTCAGATGCTTAAGTTCATTTAGCCAAGTAGTTCTTAAGCCTGATTGATGATAAAACTTGGAGGGAGGTTGTGTTTTGGGAATGCAGATTTTTAGGCTTTTCTCCAGAGACTGATTCTACTGATGAAGCTGCCTTTGTTAATATACAAACACACACACACATGCGTATATCTTTTCTTTTAATAACATCCCTGCTAATTAAACAGGAACATAGGAACATGGATATTACCTATGAACATATTAGAAGAGAATTTCAGGCTTTATCTCAGACATATGAAATCAGAATCTGCATCTTAGAAAGATTCCTAGCTGACTCAGATACATTTACCACTGAGAAACATCCCTTGATGCTTCAAATGCAGATGATTCTGAGACCACACTTTGAAAAAAATTAACACCCAAAAATTTAATTGTACAAGTGATAACACTGAGTGCAAATTTTAAAAAGTAGATAATAAAACTGGATAAAGATATTGGATTAAGATTTTCCCTTTAATCACATTTTATGTATTATTTATGGAAGATTTTTTTCTCAAATTTTTTCCTGGTAACAGAGCTCTGACTAGAAGTCCTAGGCCTCTTAATTACTTGGTCATAATTATAACTAGTAACTGATAACACATACATATAATGAGAAATGGCAGTTTATTTTGTTGTATTTATTCAATTTTTTCATATATGCTTTCCTGACATATAATATCCATATTGTTTAGACATTACCTTTGAGAGATTAGTATTCTCAAGGGAAATGAAACTTTGTCAGGAGACTTCATTTGGTCACCAGACTATCCCCTACAGTATTTAAAGCCTGTGGGCCTTTATATATTTTTCCTGAAGTAACTTGATTAATTTAGGTATTCTGAATGTAGGCACAATGCTGTCACTGTCACTGTGTATAAGTGGCTTCTAGTATGTACTTGAGAACATTAGGTTAATTTCCCTGATGAGCTCAGAATCTGTATGCCTGTCATTGGGTATAACTGGCTTCTAGTATGTACTTGAGAACATTAGGTAAATTTATCCTGATGAGCTCAGAATCCATATGCTTATCTAACCTTGGTAACCCACTTCTAGAGAGCTAGGATTCAGTCTGCTTGGTGCCTCTTGCTGGTTTTTAACAAAGAGCTTCAGGGGCCTTCTCCTGTGTAGGATAAAGCTGATTTGCAGCTGGACTGGAAAAGTTCTATCTTTATTTCTAGAGACATCTGTATATCTGATTTTACTTGGCCAAAAAGAAGGCAGTGGGATATTAGATGTACCATTTAGGACCTGAAACTCCACTGGAAACTCCAAAGTTTAACTTTTGCACTAATCATTTGCAACTAGCCTGCTTGGTCTGACTAAACTGACTTGACTCCTTAAAGGGCTACTGCGATCTTTGCTGGTCAGCTCTCCCCAAACCAAGATCGTACAGATCTCAGCAGATGGAGCCAGTGACTCAGCATGCTCGAGTTGCCCAAAGATTGAGCTCACGGGGAGCTTCTACTGGAGGCAGCTGTCAGGCCATGGGTGTTTGACTGCATTCTCTTTTCTCTGCTGCACTGTATCCTTTGTCTTTAAACAAAACCCTTGTATGAGTGGAGTCTGGTGAGCCCTGTCAAATATCTGAACTTGGGAAAACAATAAAACAGTTCAAGGCAACAGGACTGCCACAGTGTCAACATTTACTGCATTCATGAAAGTCCTTTCAGTTCTGGACAAATAAAGTATTCAACTTTCTTCAGAACCAGTAAATGTCAACGAATCTGCTTATTTTTCTCAAAGGACTGTGTGCCGAAACAGTGTTTGGACCGGGGAGAATCTTTCACCTTAACCAGTATACTAAGCTCTAGATTTCTCTATTCTTTGCATGCATCTCAGATATGTGGAGGTAGCTTTCAAACTTAGTGGTATTTTATTCATTTGGGGGAAATATGAGCCTTACGTGCAAAGGCCTACTCATCTAGAGAAAAAAATAATCTATGTCTACCTCTGGAATTGGAAAACGAATCCTTGCTTAGCTAAACATAAATGTTACATATAAAGTTATTTTGTTTTTATGGAAAGTCGAGTTGGTTGAATCTATTTAGACTTCCGTCTATTAAACTATAGTAAGAGAGTGTTACACAAAATGATCTTCCTTCTTTCAGACTAAAGTTCAATGAATATTTCTTGTCATCTACTTACACTGACTCCAGTTTGATTTTTGAGACTATATTACATATTTCAGACATTCATTGACTCTTAACAATTATTAATCTAACAAATATTAACTGGAGGCTATGTGCCAATGGTTCTTAAGGTGTGGTTGACAAACCATCAGTATCACTGTGGAACTTATGAGAAATGCACATTTATAGTTTCCACCCAGTCCTCCTGAATCAGAAACTCTTAGCAGTCCAATTTTTAACTAAAATATCAGAACCACTTCTATATGCCAAGTACTGTGTTACATTAGGACCTAAGGAAACACAATTAAATTAGAGAAGGGGAAAAAAAGGAAAGTCAGTTTTTGACAAGTCAAGTGTAAGATGTCCATGACACATCCTAATACTTACATGTAGGTCAGGCACTGAAAAGAGAAATATACACATGGGCAATGATAAAGAGAGAATGTGTCAAATGAGACAAAAAACACAAAGTGGAACTTCTGTTTTAAAAGCGGTTCAGTCATGGAGGTTAATCAAGTTAAGGGAAAACTGACATTAACAAGATGTAAAAGCAGAACCAGAAAAACTTCATTAGCAGAATCAAAAGAAGGATAAAATTTCAAAAGGGGAGCACTCAAAGGCATGTATTCAAGGAAAAGAGTAGTGAACCATAGCCAGTGAATTTGGGAAGGAGGTAGTTAGCTTTGTTAGAATACATCACTTATTGAAAAGAGGAGCTTTTTTTGTTTGTTTATGTTTCCCTCTTACCTAACAAGACTTGCAAGAATGAAAGAAAATATCACCTCCATGTAATGTGAAGAAATAAAAATAACAAACTACTCTCTGAAGAAGACACCTGGTGGTAGCTAGACAATGAAATAAGAGGTTGGAAGTTAAGCATAAGCTGGCAAAGTAAAAATTTAATAAAACTGAAAAGTTTTTGTTAATTGTAGTAATGTACTTTACACAAAAGATGACTTAATACACTTAATAGTGACTGATGAATAGAGTTTTGAAAAAAGATGCAAATATACTTTTCTTGAATGTATAAAAATCAAAAGATTACCCCATGAGATCTGAGACTATAAAATAATTACCATTCAAAATTCTAATGTACTTTCATTTTTAAAATCATATTTTATTTTATATTACTGCTATATGTTCTTGAAGTATAGTTAATATACAGTATTAAATTGGTTTCAAGTATATAGCACAGTGGTTCAACTATTAGCTACACTACTAAATGTTCTCCCCAACTACTGTAGTTACTGTCAACAAAGAATGATGTTATGAAATTATTGACTATATTCTCCATGCTGTACTTTCAGCCCTGAAACTAATTTATATTATGATTCAGATTTTGTGTCTCTTTATCCCCTTCCCCTTCATCTGTTTTACCCACTCATACCTACTCCTCCCCAACGGAACCATCAGTCCCTCCTCAGTATCTATCAGACTATTTCTGTTTCATTTTTTTAGATTCCACATAAAAGTGAAATCATGTGGTATTTGCCTTTCCATGCCTGGCTTATTTCACTTAGCACGACTCTCTAGTTCCATCTATGTTGTTGCAAATGGCAATATTTCTTTTTTTATGGTTGAGAAACATGCTGTTGTATATATGCACCACATCTTATTTATCCATTTGTCTACTATGGGTGCTTTGGTTGCTCCCATATCTTGGCCATATATATATAGGAGTGCATATATATAATGTAGCCATAAATATAGGAGTGCATATATCTTTTTGAATTAGTGATTTTGTTTTCTTCTGGTATATACCCAGAAGGGGAATTACTAGGCCATATGGTGTTTCTGTTTTTAGTTTTTTGAGGGATCTCAATACTGCTTTCCATAGTGGCTGCACCAATTTACACTCCGACCAACAGTTCAGGTTTCCCTTTACTCCACATCCTTGCCAACACTTGTTATTTCTTGTCTTGTGGATAGTGGTTACTCCGACTGGGTGAGGTCATATTTCATGTGGCTTTCATCCGCATTTCCTTGATGACTAGTGATGTGGAACATCTTTTCTTGTGTTTTTTGACCAACTATATTTCTTCTTTGGAAGAATGTCTATTCAGGTCCTCTACCCATTTTTAAAAGGGTTATTTGTTTTTTCTGTATATATTTTGGATATTAGTCTCTTATCATATATATCATTTCAACTATATTCTTCCATACAGTAGACTGGCTTTTTGTTTTGTTGATGGTTTCCTTTGACCATACAGAAGGTTTTTAGATTGAACAAGTCC